AACCAAAGAAATCGTTGCGATTGTATCACAATGGTCATCTTTCATCTTGGACATCCTAAAATTGTGCAATGTATACCAGGCATAAGACAAAACTGTCTTATGATAGGGATGTAAACATGCACCCCAAACTGGTTGAAAAAATTCCGATGTAACATGCCTCATCTTATGGAGCTAAAAAAAACAAAAAAAAAACACGATTCGTGGCACAGTGCAAGTTTGCAAGCGTCATTACAGTGTAAATTGATGGACATACAGTACTATACCTGAAACAGAAAACTAATAAATACAGCAATATTCCCTCTGCTCTTCGGAAACTGTGGGTTTTCGATGCGTGCACACATCAATGTATCTCCCATATGAGAAGAGTTTGGGCTTGTCCAAATACCCACACTTGCTATCTTTGCACTTGACCACTGACATATTTCCTGTATTTGGTCCATGTGTTCAAGTGGGCATGAAGACCACAAGTGTGAGCAGAACTTTGGGACACACTTATAGAAAAATGCAAGTGTTTACAGAGCTTTATTTTGATTTTCAGTACTTTGCATTTTAAATTAAACTTCTAAGGGCCAGTTTCACTAGCTTGCTCCAGCAAACCGTCTTTTGGCGTTAAAATAGTACTGCCACGTTTTACTAAAGACGCGCAGTGACGAATTAGCACTGAAAAGTTATTTTTGCGCCTGACCTTATTGAATATGCATTTGTAGGAGCTTCCCTTTCAGACGCAAAAGTTATGGGAGGAGAGTATTCAAATCGATCACGCAACGCGATTTACTAACATTTGTGCTTGTCAAATTACTGGTATTTGAGCCATTATTTAACGCCCCCCCCCCAAAAAGCATGTCTTAAACTATTTTGCGCTTGAAATGGCTGCAATTGTTGTTGCTAGGAGGAGACACCGCAGAGAACAGAGAGTGAGTGGTAGAAGGGAGATAATTTTTTCCACACGTACTAATTTATTTGGAATGCCAGAAGAACACATAATCCCAACGTATCGTTTGCCAAGCCATGTTATTTTTAATTTGCTTCAGGAAATAAAAGTCGACTTGGAACCCTCAACTAAGAGTCACGCAATACCAGGTCTATCAAAACTTCTTGCAACTTCTATTGGACTCGGGTTCTTTTTTAATGTACAGTGGCTTCTTTATTTCTTTATTCTTTATTTGTGTCTGCTTTAATTTGCGCTGCGCTTGGTATATTGTGTTGGTCGATATGTAAATTAGATGTTGCATCTGTGTTCTTTAATTTGCACGTAGCCTAATTAGTAAATCACCCGCAAAAATTTCGACACCCGATCGGCGCTGTTTTTTAATTAATACTAATTTGTCCTGTTTAGTAAAACTGGCCCTAAATGTCTAAGTAGTCCCTATAACATGACACAATTTAGTAATTGTGGTGCTTCTAATTAAGTGATAAAAAGCAATTGCAAATGTTGTACAAAATACACATACTCATCTTTGCACCACTTTAAGTTTTAAGTTTCAATACCAAATTATATGTAATGTCTAATAGCCTAATTATTAATATTTAACTTACACTGGAAGGTTTTCGTGACCTATAGCGATATCTCAGCAATAACTGATTTTCAGAACATGATGCACAATGGGATGCTTAGCCTTGAATACTGCTTCGGAGTGGTATTCCAGATAGTGTGGATTAAGGGCACTTCACTTTAGTGTTTTGAAGACCTGGGACAGTCTTGCGCACTTCCTGTTGCGTGCACATGCTCTCAAGTGGCCAAGACCGCAAGTGGAGGTATTTGGACAAGGCATTGGATAAGCTTTTTCTTTGACCGTGGGAAACGTGGTCTGAAAATTAAAGGTGAATGGTGCAACATAACGCCAGCAGGGGTCACTCATAATTCATAACATAATTAACAAGCAGTTAATTTTGCTGAAATACAAAATACATGCAGTAGTTTTGATGCTATATTGATTATGTTGCTAAGGGTGGTTGCTAAGAGTTTTGGGCAGTGATACTCTGAACCATAGATATGCATAGGTAGATGCCACATTCAACCACTCCAGACACGTCAAAGCATCCAACATCTTGGAGTGGTCTAGGTGTCGTCACTCACAATAAAAAAATTAATGAGTTTCAAGATGCCACAACATTGCAAGCCTCTGGTTGTAAAATCTGCCAAAATTGTAATTCCTAAAGAAATTGGATTGTGAATAATTATAAAACGTTTCATAAGTAAGATAAAGCCTTAAAACTAAAATAAACACAGACCACAGTACTAAAAACAAATACTGTCTTAAAACAAATCAAACAGATGATGAATACAAGCTAAATATAAAAGAGTTGTCCAGAGAACTAGACTCTAACTAAAATAATGTACATTTAGGATAGCAAACAACCTGTAGAAGAAGGGAGCAACTCCAAACTTGATGGGTCTGCAAACATAAGTGGAGCACCTGACTCGTGTGACTTTACTTCATCAGTCAGCAGCATGGGTAACAAAAATATCTAATATTTTGCATGAATGAGACTTATTCTTATGTTGCAGTGTATTAGTGAATCTGAGAAAGGTTCTTCTGTATTTATTCTAGATCGTAATCTGACCATTGTGTTTTTTGGAAACTCTGCTGCAGTCCAGTTTCAATGCGACAATATTCTGGTGGCTTCAGAGAGTATTTGGTGACAGAGTTCTTCAGTTTGTGATGATTCTCTTCACCTATGAGAGCCAGGAAGAGTCTGACTCTATAATAGATGATCTGAAGAAAAACTCTGCTCTGGAGCATCTGCTGAAGAAATGTGGCGGAAGATATCACACCTGCAGCAAGAACATGAACAACCAGTCAGAGATGACAGACCTGATGAACAGGATTGAGCAACTGTTTATTGATAATAAACAGCAGGGCTACACTAGTGAGATGTACACAGCAAAAGACCTGCAAAACAGGACATGTCGAAGTGGTAAGAACACAGATTAGGTTCCCTGATGTTTCACAGATTCATTTGCCATTCAGTAACACCACAATTATAAGAATCAAATGTTCTGTTACATTTGGATCTTCATCTGATACACCAGCTCAATAAATATTTTTTTTTCTGGTAGATTAGCTGGTAAGTAATGTAGTCAGGTATTAGACATGGCATGTCTAATATATAAACAGTTTTACACTGTTGAATAATTTCAACAACATATAAAAAATTTTTTTTATCACTATAAGATTTGTGACACATATTCCATTTTATAATACTGGCCACTGGCCTGGTTTCAGTGGCACTGTAAGCAGAGTTCCCGTAAAGCTCCATAACATAGAGGCCCAATTGCCATAAGTCTAGTATGTCAGTAGATCAGTTCAAGAGTAATCCAAACTCATAGTCAAAGTTGTATCGAAAAACAAGAAATCAATTAAATGTCTAAAATAGTTATTAAAATGTTAGTTTTTAATTATTATTATTATTATTATACCACTAGAGGTACCCAGAGGATCTAATGACTAAATGACTAAATGTAAATGTAAAGGGCACTTTACTATACCATGAGGCCATGGGAGAGAATTTGTGAATGGCAGTGAAGAAATTATGATGGTGGCAGGTCAAATTATAATGACAACATGACAAATGTATTATGTCCGGATTGCATTCATACTGCACACATTCATGTACTCTTCTTCACGGTTGTGAAATAATTGCTTATTCAAAAGTACCTACTCAGAGAGTATGCAGTTTCGGACACAGCAAAAGAGAGTAAGTAAAAAATGGGGTAAAGAAGAAAAAATTAAGTTGAGATGTACACCATCTCCTCTGCAAGTTGCATGCAACCTGAACTGATATCATTAAATGTTAGAATAGAAAAAAATATGTTCTTTTAAATAACATGTTTATTTTCTGCTTCCTGTAAGATAATGAAACCACAACAACGAAGCACAGCACAACAACAGAGACTGGAGAAGAACACAGGGTGAGTGGCTGAAGTGCACATCTTAACATTGTTACCTTTTTGTAGTTTTCATGGTAAACATTCTTGCAATGCTCAAAATACTTAACAGGTCTAAATATAAAAAAGAAAACATAAACATGATAATTGAGTGTAATTTACAGTTAAGTTAATTTACAGAGATGTCAGAGAGACATGGAGGCCACAGATAACAACTTTAAGGGGCTTTATCATTATATTCAAATAAGGTTGTGTTTAAGGTTAGGAAATCTGTTTAAAACATATTGTGGTAGGCCACTTTAATCATGAAGTACTTATCAAACAATCAATACAGGTCTGAATGAAGCCACTTAGCCAATACAATAAGCCAGCTAATGAGTCAAGTGATATGAACTCACATGTGTTAATATAAATGTAAAAATAGCCATATTAAGGCAAGTCAACAGGCAAGTTATATGATAAACTAAGTACCAAATTTCCCATCTTTAATACATTGAACTCCAGTTATTATTTTTTTAACTATATTAATACCTAAAACTAATCCAAATCCAGCATTCAATATTTGTTATTTTAAAATTATTTTTACATAATTATTTACTATACCACATGAGCATGTGATCTTAATGCATTTTGGGTGAACGGGGTTATAAGATGCATGATGATGATCAACAACTTCTGACTATGATTCAGTAGGCCTTGTCTTTTTGATACAAGATTCTTCTTCATTGTTACCACATAAAATTAATTTAAGTAAATAGTATGCTTATTTATTCAACAGGGGAGAAGATCAGATAAATGCCAACAAGACAGCAGTCAAAAAATTAAGGATCTAATTAACAGACTTCATCTTGAAGGCAGATATGAGCATAAACTAACAGCTGCAGATGTTCTTCAACTAACCAAACATTCATTATCGTCTCATGAGTCTTGTGCCGAGGAGGACCTCATTCAGACTTTCCTTCAAAAACTACTGATGATGAACTACAGAGCAAGATACCTTATGATTAACAATGAACAGGATTTCACACAACAAAGAAACAATGACTCTTCTGAAGATGAGAGTGATTTTTTTAATGATATGTCTTCACCTTACAAAGCAACAAGCGAATCTGACACTATTCACCCGATGGATGTTCAGATGGCTGTGTTTCATTGTGCTGATAGTTTTTTAAAGCAGCTGATGGTGACTAAACTGTCTCAGTGTCAGTACGCTCTGCCTCTGCTTGTTCCTGATCCATTCACACAAGAGATTGAGTTTCCTCTCTGGACATTCAGACAAATCAATAAGAGCTGGAAGATGAAAGATGCCAAAAATGAAATCAGTCAAATCCAGCCTGTCTGGAAGGCAGAAACACCAATGGTGTCTTTCTTCAAGTTTGGCTCTGTATCCTCATCCAAATCTCAGCTGATGAACAATCTAATAAATGACAAACACAACACGTTCTTCCACAGGCATTGCCCAGGCAGCAGCAAAACCAGACTACTGATGGATGGAGTGGTGGAGATCGCTTGGTACTGCCCCTCTGGGAAAGATACAGATAAATTCAATCAATGTATTGCTTTCTGTAACCTTCATGGTGATGCAGGAGACAGTGAGAAACAGCTGCAGATCCTCACTGAAATGGCCTCAGTCAATGTTGTTGTTCTACCACAACTTGGCAAGAATGACAGATGTGCAGAACAGATCCAAAACCTGTACAAGGACAGAAAGCCACTTATTTGTCTTTTTACAGATGATGAGTTTACTGCAACTAAGACAAAGAAGGGAAAATACAAAATTGGTTTGAAAGACAGAAATCAGTCAAATGTTTATGTTGAACTCAGAAGAGCTATAAATGATTGTCTCTCAGGATCACGCTCCAGTTTCATACTTGAAGATATGTCCGAATACTTCAAACAGCATTGTCCAAACATCAGAGTAGATGAGAAATATGATGATGACTGCAAAAGAGGAAAAGAAGCAGCCCAGCAGATGATGAGTTTACTGGAAAAGAAAAAGTTAACAGAAATGAAAGAATCATTTCTGCCCTGTCAGGGGAAACTGTGGCATCAGTGGTGTGAAAAAAACAAAGAACTACATCGATCACAGGGTAATGAAACAGAAATAGAAATAAGTGGAATTCACAGTGAAATGAAGAAAATCCGTGATGAGCAGTATAACTGTAACATTAGTGAGTTTATGAAGTTCTTCATTGAAGAAATTAATTCAAAGGATGCAAATAAGAAAAATTATTTTCTTAAATGGATCAGAATTCTCCTGGATGAATATACCTCAGATTATCTTTCACATTTGACCAATGAACATGCAGAACTTGATAGGATATCAAGAGAACTTCAAGCAGCAACCTTTGGCTTGGAGCACATCCTGAGGGAGATCGGTCAGATCTATGAATCGTGTAAATCATTGAATAAGAACAAGGAAGGTCTGCCGTGTGATTTTTCTTCTCTCCCGAGTCTTGCAGCAGAGATGATGATCTCTGGATTTCCACTGGAGCTGATGGATGGAGACGCTGCTCATGTTCCTGTGGTCTGGGTTACTGCTGTTCTACATGAACTCATTCAGAAACTGGGAGACAAGAGAGTGTTTGTGCTGTCAGTTTTAGGGATTCAGAGCTCTGGGAAATCCACTATGCTGAACGCCATGTTTGGACTCCAGTTTGCCGTCAGTGCTGGCAGATGCACCAGAGGAGCTTTCATGCAGCTGGTCAGAGTTTCAGAGGAGATGAAAAAACAGCTGAAGTTTGACTATATTCTGATTGTTGATACTGAGGGGCTTCGTGCTCTAGAACTGTCTGGAAGATCAACAAGACATCAGGACAATGAATTGGCAACATTTGTTGTTGGTCTTGGTAATTTAACATTAATCAACATTCTTGGAGAAAACCCATCAGAGCTGCAGGACATTCTTCAGATCGTTGTTCAGGCCTTCATGAGGATGAAGAAGGTCAGACTGAATCCCAGCTGCATGTTTGTTCATCAGAACGTTTCAGAAGTCACAGCCGGAGAGAAAAACATGGAGGGAAGGAGACGGCTGCAGCAGACGCTGGATGAAATGACAAAACTTGCTGCTAAAGATGAAGTCTATGATGCAGAATGTTTCAATGATGTCATTACTTTTGATATTCAGAAGGATGTGAAATATTTTGCACAGCTCTGGGAGGGCAGCCCACCTATGGCACCATCGAACCCTGACTACTATGAAAATGTTCAAGACCTAAAGAAATATATTCTTTCTCATGCCTCAAAATCAGATGGAATGATGTCAATAGACTTAAAATATCGGATTAAAGATCTCTGGGAGGCTTTGCTGAATGAAAAATTTGTGTTCAGCTTCAAAAATTCATTAGAAATTTCAGCATACAGGAAACTGGAGACAGAATACAGCAAGTGGTCTTGGAGTCTCCGCAGTGCCATGCTGGAAATTGAAAACAAACTACACATCACAATTAAAAATGAGGTGACTAATAAAGTTGAGGAGACAGATCTTCAAACAGAACTGAATAAGACAAGTGAAGAAGTGAAAAAATCAATGTCAGAGTTCTTCAAGACAGACACATATGCAGCTGTACTGATACAGTGGAAAGCACACTTTGACTTCAAAATCACAGAGCTTCAGGAAAACATTGTGAGAGAAACAAAACAGAAATTAAATGAAATTCTTAAGCAGCGAGACACAGTGAAAGAGATTGATGCTCAGAAAACACGTCACATAAACACTCTCTTTAACAAGAGCAAAGAGCTTGCCTTTAAACTTAAAGACAAAGCAAAGGATGAAGAAACACTGAAGAAAGAGTTTGATCTGTTTTGGGAACAAAGTGTTAAGAAGATCAACACAGACAAGCAAACTTCAACCAGAGAAATTGACATATTTGGAGACATGAAACGATTCCTCAGTAACAACTATAAAAGTGTTCCTGTAGATGCCTGGACAGAGAGCATGGATATTTTCTCTCTGCCAAATTATTCAGATTATGTACAGTTCAAGAAATCTAGTGGAATTAAAGGACATGTTCAAAATATGGTAATATCAGCTATAGAGAAGTTTGGCAACACTTTGTCTAAAGAAGATGAAACCCAAATCAGAACCTTAGTCAGTGACATTGCTCGACAGGCAGACAATATGATCATGTCATATAACATTGCAACAGTGGGCTACAACAAAACCTACATTCAACAAATCACAGATTGCATTATGGGTAGAGTAACAGAACATCAGGATAAACCAGTGAAATATGTGTTCAAGAATGATTTCTTCATGGTTTTAGTGTATTCCATCTGTAAGAGAGCAAATAAGACATTCACTGACCAGCACAGACTTTTCAAAGAAGCCAATGATCCTGCAATATATGTTAGAAAGAAGAGAGAAGAGTACTACAGCATTTTTACAAAACACCTCAATGGTGCAACATCTACTGCCATTTTTGGTGAAATCATCTGTCAGAAACTTAAAGAGCCTGTTGAACAAAGTGTCTACAAAAATACTGCCAGAAATTTGACAGGTGAAATTAGAAAAAACTGTCCACTGCTCAAGGAAAAAAGATCAGAACTGGAGAAACACATCCTGAAATATCTGGCTGAACATGAGGATTTTTCTTCATACATGAACTACATTCATAATCCCAGAGATTTATTCAAGAGCTTCATCAGTGTTGTTGTCAGCCAGTACATCACTGATAATTTTAGTGAAAATCTTAGTGTTCTTCCCAAGATTAAGGAAAACACTGCACTCCTGCAGAAAAAGATCATAGAAGCAGCACATGAAGCTACTGAACATGTTCAGGTAAACAGTGGTGATGTTAATTTGTGGTTGAAGCGTTTCACAGAGCAGCTCTCAGATGTGCTGATATTCTCTGTAAAAGACCTCAGTGGAGTGAGTCGTGATGGTGTGGATGATCTCAACCTCCTAGAAGAAGTTATAAAAAAAGAACTTAATCTGTCTGATATAGGCAGAGAGATCAGTGCAGACACATTTGTTCAAAAACTGAACCCCATGGACAGACCAGATGAGATTCTGAGTAATGAGCTCTGTAAGTGCTGTTGGGTTCAATGTCCATTCTGTGAAGCCTCCTGCACCAACACAATAGAAAACCATCCTGGACATCACAGTGTTCCTTTCCATCGAGTGACTGGACTCAATGGATACTATTATGATCAAACACATAATTTGTGTGCAGATTTTTGCTCAACTGTAGTGGCCAGTAAAAAATCATTTAAAACATCAGAAAAGTGGATCCCATATAAAGAATACAGAACTGCAGGAGGAGTTTATGCAGAGTGGAGCATCACCCCTGACTTCTCTGAGCACCCATACTGGAAGTGGTTTGTGTGCAGATTCCAGAAAGATCTGGAAATGCACTATGGGAAATCATTTCAGGGGAATGGTACACTCCCAAGACAATGGAAAACATACAGCAAAGAGGATGCAATTGAGAGTTTAGAAGCACAGTACATTTTGAGTAGATATACATATACATCAGCGTTCAGGCTGTGTGTTCCTCCCTGTCTGCGCTATATTTTGGGTGGGGACACACACAGTTTGTGTGTTGTCTGCTTGGGAGCGAAGCACGCAGAGTCAGCTCTCGAGGGAGCTCCCGCATGGCGAGCGTTTGTTACTGCCTTGCTTCGCTCTCGGAAGGCTCTCTTTGAGGAGGGAGCCTTCACCGGCGTTTCTCGCGGCGCCGGCCACGCTTTCGCCAAAGCGGAGCGGCGGCTGTGCTCATGGGGTTCACATATGGCTGGATATGGAGGGCGTCGATGAGCTCGCCAGTTGCAAAAGCATCAGTTACACAAGCATATTATGCAGCATTTACTAGGGAGCGGAGCTCGCGCAGTCAGCTCTCGGAAATAAG